TAATGTCTTGCCTCCACACAAAACCAGTATTTGTTCATCATATTTTGGTATCAAATATTGTATATTTTACTTTTGTTTTTACTATTATATAAACAAATTATCTAATTTACCATATTGTTGAAATCATTGTCCTACAATTTTAATTCTGTAATTTTCGTTATTATACTAACGAAAACTGATTATTTGTTAACTTTTCATAAGAACATGTTAAATTGACAGTCACAAAACATAATATGGATTTGTGCTTTTTCCTGCCAGTTTACTGTTTTAATATTGTGTAATTTTTGTGGTCTTGCACTAACATTTTTTTTGCAGGATCGCTTGAATTATTTAAAATAATTCTCCTGCAGTTTCGTGTTTGTTGTTTGTGATTTGCAGTTTTTATTAAATTCTCTATTTGCTCTAGTTTTTAGATTTATCGCTATTTGATTTTCAAGCTTAATTTGCTTTTCATAAGTTATTTAGCAATTGAAATAAATTAATAATCATCTGAGAAAGTGTTTGAATAGGAAAATGGTAGACAGTTTTTCTTATTGGCACATACTCTTGATCTGTTCTGGTTTAATGCATTTATTTGCATTTATTTTCTTATCAAATATTGCTAAATGTTAACGTTTCTGTACAAGATTGAATTTATGTATTAAACGTTTCTAGCACTTGATAATGATTACCATAGACGTTACTATTTGTCCAAACGTTGTAAATTTATTTCCTGATAAAATGTCACTAATATATTTTTAAATTAGCACTAACTTATATATTTTTTATAAATATATGTTTATAGCTCATGAAGATAGATCACCAGCAAATTGATGAGTGGAGTTCTGGTTCTAATCCAGTGGTGGATCGAGTTTTAAACATGAGGAAAAAATATCTTATAAAAACATTTCAATCTTCAAGAGATCGAATGGAAAAAAATTCGTGAGACGACGATCCAAATTAAATTTAGGAAAGGTATGCCACATTTGAGTCATTTGACATTAAAAGTATAATGTTATTGATATTGATCAAAACATTTATTTCGTCAATGCTTTAACGCGAGTCATATAAAAATTGATCATAGAAAGAAAAAAAAAACAATGCGAATTTTCAGATCAATATGACTGAAACTGACATAAGTGTTGTAGTTCTAAAATCAATATAGTTAAAAATAACCAGAAAATGGTGTTTTTGATACCAAAAAAATAACATCTTGTAATGGTATGAATATTTTCTAAAAAGCAAAAATATGTGTTTGGAAAAGTTCAAAACATATAAGTTGGTTTTATAAATCAACTTCAGAGAACTATGAAAAATAATTGTATGTAAAATGTTAATTTCTGAGAATAAAATACATTTTTACAAAAAATTGTAATAATTTTCAAAATTACTTTTTATTCATTTAAATCTAAAGAAGTTGTAAAATATTTTTTTCTAAGCTGTTAAGAGATGTTAAATGCAAATGAATTTAGTGATAATTATCACAATACGATATAAAAACTAGTGTCAAGCATTGAGTTTTATGTACAATGGTTATTTGTATCTTCAAAGAAGATGACCAAAATTGATAGACAATTGCTCGGTTGAATTAATCTTAAGAGATTATGTTTATTATGATGAAAATTAGGATCCTTATATTAAAGGTGTGTCATAAGATTAAGTTGGTATATCATAAAGAGAAATGAGTTAGCCTATGAATTAAGATAAGGTTCAGCGGTAACTCTACCTAACTGATTGGAGATCCCAAGAAATAGGTTTAATGAGACAACTAAGTCAAATTAAATTTGTCCAAAGCACTGTAAGACTTCGGTATATACCTAGTTTCTAAGATGATTAAACAATGCTACAAGTAAGGATTATAGGATAAGCATTTGCTTTTTAATGATTTGTGTCCATTGTTTTGAGATATGAATGGAACAGTACATGATATTCCTCTAAACAAAACTAATGGCAACTCACCTTGTGAGTGTGAAATGGGGCCGGTTCTACGAGAATGAAGAAAATGTTATATTCTCTAAGTTCACTCATGATTAACTAGACATGTTCACGGCCAAAATGAACATAATATAGAACCTAGTTCCGTGAGAGAATGAAGGTGTGTTGTAGCTATTTTCTAGGTTTACATGAAAATCTGGGCGGTTCAAGACATCATGTTCTCTACCTGGTCGAGTAAATCCGATAGCTATTAACAATGATTGGTTCAAGTTCAAGGCTGAAAAACTGCTACCAACTCATCATGCAGTGGATTGTTCGCTTGTACTCTCAAAAGTCCTTAGTTGAATCTTGTCGAGTTGTGTCGTGTCTTGTCTAGAAGGTCAAGTCTAGCGAGTCGTCTAGTGTTTAAAATCATTTCTATTAATGTGGAAGATTGTTAGAACTATTTTTATGAGCATTAATGAATAGTATATTCATATGTCAAAAATGAGTTTTATTTGAATGAGAGATGATGGTTCAATGTGTGTGATTTGAGAAACTTTTATAAAGTAGCAAATACACATATTTGATATTTGATTGGAACTGAGTTTTGATTTGTTAGTTAGATTTCATGTTCATTAACTTAATTTAATAAACTAAATAAATGTTGATCATTTATATTGATAAAATATATAAAAAAATCCATTTGAAAGTATATTATTTAGTTTGAATTAGTCAAACAACAATATTATTACTCTTTAATTTCTTGATCAAAATATGAAAGAAATTTACATAATAATTGAAAATTAATTATGACACCATTAGAGGTTTCATTTCTATGTTAAAAATGAATTTGTGCTTCTTATTATTTTATATAAAAATGTTTGTTAGCATTATAGAAAAAAATACACATTCAACAACACAAAATCTATCTCTTCTTCTTAAAATAGTTATGTTATGCTAGTATTTTTATTTTATTTTGTGTCTGAGAGTACAACATAAAAAAAAAAAAGTTTGTTAGCTTATATTCTGAGTGATCCAGAATAGTTGAAGTGTGGTTGTATGATGAGATTCTGATTTCGTAAACACTGTCATACTACGAAAAATTAAAGAATTAAAAATGAATGTCTCACCTCCATATGAAACCGGTATTTGTTCATCATATTTTGGTATCAAGTATTTTATAATTTATTTCTATTTTTTTATTATATAAGTAAATTATTCGGTTTGCCATATCATAGAAATCATTAACCTACAATGACCACAAATGTAATATTCTTTTTGTAAACTAGATCGGATCAAATGTCACAATAATCTTCGACCAAAACTTGGTTTAAACATATGAATAGACTTTTTTAATAATTATTAGATCATGACCCGCACATTTGAGCAGGTTTTATTTTCTTGAATGTATTCTATATAATTTAGTTTTATATAGTTTTGAGTTTGTCCAATTCTATTTTATATTTAAAGAAAAATATCAAAACTGTTTTTTTTTTGTATTAATAGCGTTCATCAGTGTATTATGTAGATATCATCGTTCAGTGGAAAACACTAATTATGTACGTTTGTTCGAAATTAAAAATTAAAATTAACCTTAATTGTTTGTGTTTTGATGATTAGTTGAGAGTTTAGTTATTTCTGACTAGACCTGAGAGTTAATATCCGCTATATGTTATCCGGTTTGGGTACGTTCCGATCCACTCCGAATAAACGGATATCCAGAGGTCTGGATCATATAGTGATTTTACGGATCCATATAGTGAAATTTAGGTCTGGATATCCAGATCCTGTATACATTTTTAAAATATTCAAAATATAATTATATTTATAGATGTATATTTTATATAATTTTTTATATAAAATAAATAAATTTAAATTTTATTAAATTTCAATGATTTTTACTCGCACTTAAGAATGTTACAAATGTTTTATTAATCTGTAAGAATGTTGACTATTTAAAACATTTTACATTCAAATCATCGATTTTAATCCCAATTTGAATCCACGATCGAACTGGTAAACCCGGTGATTCGATATATCTCGGTTTTTATTTTAATGAATCTTTTATTTAAAAGTATGATAAAATCCACAAAAATCGCTAAAATCTGAAACTGACCGTTTAAGCCGATGGGTAGCCGATATGAAATCCAATATTATAATAATTATGTTCATATGAAAATCAAAATAGTATAACTGGTTATTTTTTATTTTGAAAGATTTAAAACTGAAATTAGGTATAATTAATATTTTTAATTTGTTTCATGTTGATTAATGTTTATTTTAATATGTTATAATAAAAATTATCAAAAAAATTTTCAATTTACTTTTTATTTGATAATTATTTTGTACGCCTCATAGAATAATCCACAAAAATTTTAACTGTAAAAACATCAAGCATAATTTGTAGTATTTTTACTTTTAAGTAAATATTTTTTTTATCCAAGTAAATTTATTTTGATACTTATTTATAATTCTTTTGAAGTAAACATAAGCATTATTTGTTAAAAATTGAAAATTTTCTTTATAGTTAATAACAAATCAAATGTTTAATAGTAACCAAGATTTTCTGTTTAAAAATAAAACATATACTGGAAATTTCCTAAAGAATAAGAAGGTAATATCTAAATTAAATGTTATTTAATAATTAAATACTGATATATGACTAACTTTCTAAACATGAAGTGTAATTATATTCCTATTAATTATAAGATACTGAAATATCAGTAACTTTCTACAAAATACATATCTACAAAATATCATATCATATATAAGATTCAATTTAAAAATCTTACATACAAGATGTTTCTCGTGAGTCGTTTCTATAGCGTCTCCCAAATGTATCATAAAAGGAATGGAAAGGAAAGACTGACGGCGTTCATTCTTAGAACTCAAAACGGCACACAGTTTCATCACCAATACATACTTTATTTAACATAAACATAAGAAAAAAAAACAAATAAAAGAAAAAACGAATCATGAGATCTTTTTCATCAAATCTCTCCTTCCAGAATCTTTTATGAGATTCCTAGACGGCGGGAACAATTTTGCCGTTAAACCAAAAATATATGAAAAAATATGTGTATATATAAAATGGAAGCAAATCTTCATTGCCTATTACCGCTATTAGCCTGCCAGAAACACACAACATAACCATTAGTATATAATAACAGTTATTATATTCAATAAGTTGAAAGAAAGAAACCTTTTTGAGGAACTTCTCATGGATCTTCAACGCTTCTTTACAGGCTTTTTTGGCGTCAAGATTACCCGCGATGTCTCCTAGTATCTGAACAACGTCGTCTAGGCCCTTAGCTTCCTTCAAGAGACGTTTGTTCTTTGTCTGCAGAACGCTAGCAACCACGAAAACAGCAATCGTATTGCTATGTCGCTCGTTCGTTCCGCTGTTCACGTATTTCCTCTCAAACTTGCCGTAACGTTTTAATAACTTGGGATCGTCTGCTGCGTTGTTGTTTCGGCTTTCTAGTTCCTCGTATGTTGCAAACATGTTTGGATTATACTCCATAGCCCACATCAGCTGTAATCAAAACAATCACATCAGAAGCAAGTAAAATCAGAGACCAAAGGGATAAGAGAAAAGAAGTGTTGTTAGTTACCTCCCAAAGGTACAAAGCGTCTAGGAAGGAGAATTCTCTCCTGAAAAGTACCATCAACATCCTTATAGCAAACAGATACTCCCCACCATCCAGATCCTCTGTTGTTACGTTAAAAAAAAAGAGAGTTTTAGCTCACCAACCAACAAGAAAAGTGGGACAATACCCTTACCTAGATGTTGATGGAGCCGAGGATCAACCGTTTTAATGACCTGTGAGAGCACACCCAGCTGGGTCTGGACACCCATTGATGTTGCTGTTGCCCTGAAATTCTCTCTCTGAATTTTAAGAAAATCAAGAAACAGTGAATACAATCAAACAGTCTGGTGATGAGAAGTTGTGTGCCAAGAGGTTTCTTACCAGTCTTCTCATAACACGCTCAAAGCACCAGAAAGCATCGGCTTCATCCTCAAAGAGGATGATCATTGGGGAACATATGTCATTCATTCCTACATGAGTAACAAAGTGGATCCCTTGTTATTTATATACAAAAACGTTAGAATCGTTTAACAGAAAGTAGACTAACCCTGAACATAACCGATATCAAGATTCAACCAAGTATATATGGCAAGAACATCCCACAGTTTTGATTGATTGATATCATTCTCATAAAAGGAAAGATACCGATCTGTTCTAGCGACGTCAAGGCCTGCAACAACAACACTGATGCTTAAAGGCACCTTATATGAACGTAACCAGATATACTAACTATATATAAGCAATGGGCATACCGATCTGATGCAAAGAGAGCATCCATTGGAGCACCCTGTCGTCAGTAACAGCGGTTTTGACGACCCATCCTTGGTTTTCAACAGAGGAGTCGTCTATTGGTTGCCCATTTTCTGAAACCACAGCCATTGTGATGTACTTGCCGCTACCAACGACAGGAACCATATTCTTACATTCTTCTTTCCATGCACCGTACTGCTCCCTAAAATCCCAATTTCTAAAGTTAGCCATGAGGTGATGGAATCTAAATATAATCTTTGAGTAGAGAATGGCAATATAATAGTACCTTCTTAGATTCCTGAGCTTGGTCCTTTCATCAAAAGTGCTGTCAGGATCGTAGCATCCGGACAAAAACTCCCAAACAGCGCCTTTGATTGAGGGATGAATACCCTGAAAGAGAAACAACAAGTGAGCATTACGAACAACAACAACAACAACAAAAGGGGGTATGTATAAAAGAGAGAAGAAGAAGAAGAAGACAGACTCCACGCTGAATACGTCTGAGAACTTTTTCCATATCCAAATGGCCATCTTCAGTAAAGGCAGCGTGCCATCTTCTAGCACTCAGAGTCTTTCCAGCCTGAGAGAGAGATGGATTCAAAGATTCAACACCCAAAATTCCTCAAGCTATTGACAAAAGCACAAAGAAGAAGACGTACCCTTGATTTGAAGCGGGTCCTGGGAACATCAGATTGACATTCAGGACGAACAGGATAGAAACCTTGCAAATCTTCTCCTCCGGATTTCCACATAAATGGACAACAAAACATCCAATCCAATCCTCTCTACTTTTTTTTTTTTTGCCAGAACAAACCAAAACTTACTTATCATCCCCCAACCATAGAGATCCCATATTATCTTAAAATCCAAACATCATCAGAGGAATCCAGAATCCAGAATAGACGCAAGCAATTTAACTAGAACAAATACATACTCAAATTATGCAGATTGAGATCCGGACTCTCCTCGACAATCTTCAGATAGACACATGCCTCCCTCTTCTTCTTCTTCTTCTTCTTCCTCCGATTTTCCTTCCATCGACCTTTCTATTTCTAGGACTCTCTGCTTTTTTGACCGAACCAATCACGAGTTTCTGTCTTCCGGTTCTGTTTTTTTATTTAACCGTTCCATTTCTATTTCGGTTACTAATCGTATTTGCTAAGGGTGGGCACAGTACTCTTCAATATTTTTGGTATAATTAATAGGAAATTAATATTCGACCTAGTTTGTATGAGTAGTAAATATTTTGACTTGTATTTGGTTTGCTAAAAACACGTACTAGTACTTGCAAAAATTTGACGGACTTATCAATTACTTGGTTTATTTTATTACTTATAAATTACTTACAAATTCATTCATAATTATTGGTAAACTATTTGGTAATTCATTAAAATTTAAAATTAAACAAATTTGTTATATAAACAAAATTTCATTGTTTTCTAGTATTTAACTCATTCGAAAATAGACTATATAAAAAGAGAGAATTTGAAGATGATTATCTAAATATAACACTTTGTTTGATGTACTTAAGAAAATGGAAATAGAAATGAGTTATTTTACTATGATTTAAGAATATGTATATTTGTTCATTAACAAACACAAGTAACAAACAAAACAACGTTAAGTAGTTAATTTATTTAATATTTACTTTGTATTTATAAATAGTTTAAATAGATTATTTGATACTTAACTTGGTCATAAGAAATACTAATCTTTAAACATCATGTACTTATCAAATAGTGAATAATAGGCAAACAATGAGTAATTGTGGTTACCAATCTAACAATATTAAAAGTTCATAATAAAGCCTTCTGGAGGTGTCCACGTAGGCAAAAATAATCACCCAATAGAAATTCTGCATATGGACATGTCAGCATGGCTTTATCAATCGATTGGGTTTATAATTTTTTTTCACCGGCTTAGAACCCAGATTCCCTAAAAAGTTAGACGGTTCGTCGCCTCCTCTTCCTTTCTT